GGAATGAAGTCCACTATCCATGACTTCTGAGCTGCCAGCAGGGAATAGGCCCATGCAATCTGAGTTCTTTCGGTGGAATATTTAAGAATATTTGGGAGAAAGAAACGCCTGCAATACTACACTTGTACTACAAAGTCGTCAAGTTGACAATGCCAATACCATGCCCCCTTACTTAGAGGGTTTAGAGTTTAGGGTTAGGGTGATAGCGAACGATGTGTAGAGCACTCGGCTTATGGGGACCCCAGGGTTACTCATGGCGGTAACCTTAGATTAGAGGTGAGTTTCAAACAAGGCCTTACAAGTTGCTGCAGGTCTTGATAAGTGGGGAGTTCGTGACGTTTTTGAAGCCCAATGTACCTCTAGAGGGTCACAGGTACTCCCTGTACACTTACCCATCATTGCCAATCAAGCAGCAAATAATCACCTTTTTATCATCGGTAGTTGGGAACGGAGCCGCATTGTAGCCCGTACCTGCTTGGCAAGAATATTGCTGTCTCCATTTTCTTTAGAGATCCCCGGGCCCCAAGCCCTAAACACTTCAAAAAAGTAGTTTCCGTTCCATTCCCTTCAAACCTGAAACCCCAGCAAATTGTAGTCAGGCCGCCCCACGTTGTGCCTGCAAGCAGTAGCCGGAAGCTCTCTGGCTGCCCAGGAGGTCCCGCAGTGTTGAGGCCTCAGGGCTTTGAGGTCAGGATTTAGAGTTTGCTTCAGGGCTCAGGGTTGAGTCCAAACTATAAATGCCTCTTAAATGCCTCTTGCAAGCTTCCCCAACATCTCCATGTAGAGGGCCTAAACAGAAATGGAAAGGAAACTCGACTTCCAGCCAGTGTTTAGACCATCCAAGACTGCATTCATGTTTTGTAATGAACCCATCATGAAATGGGTGGTTGCCAAAATTATGGTCCCTTTTTGGTTCCCTATTATAATACGGCACCTAATATTTAGGGTACCCAAAAAGGGACCAGAATTTTGACAACCACCTAAATGGATTCCTCTAGTGCAGGCACGCAGCAGGGAGAGAGCGACTTCTGTACTGCCGGTACTCCGGGCCTTCCTGGTCGGACCATAGGGAGCTTGACCCCTCTTCGGGGGGGGGAGCTGTGAGAAGAAGAAGAGAGAGCAAACATCGAGGTGATGCCACATATGTTATATTATATTATATTAGACTATGTTATAGTATATTGTAGTATATTATAGTATACAATAATGTATTTTGTGTACTATAATATGTGCGTGACTGTGGTGGCAGACCCGCGCTGGGATCCTAAACCAGCGCGACGTATGGGGGTGACGATTGCCGGCCTGGAGAGTGGCTGGGGGTGATACATTATGTGTGTGCTGTAGAGCTGGACAGGGTAACAGGTGGGCTGAGCTGCTGATCTTTGCAAAGCCCGGTGGAGAAGGATGTGAGTGGTATGGAGATCCCCTGTTTGGTCATGTACTGTGGTGCAGGACTGTTTATTGCTGTTCATGACTGCGGGTGGGGATCTTTGTGGATGCCGTGCATCGGGCCTCCTGGGTGGAACCAATGCCAATGAGAATGCCGAGAAGAAGAAGACAGAGAAAGAGTGAAAGTGCGTGTGGCTCATTTCAACTGGCTGCACAGCCCTGACAGCCGTGCAGAAGAAACCGGAGAGACGCTTCCAGAGGAAACGGAACTGCAGCAGGAGCAGGAGCGGAGGGAGAAGCAGGGGAAAGTACTCAAGACACACACCCGTATGGTGATGCATGGCGCAGGTGACGAACGGGAGTACTTGACGTGCTGGACTGAGGGTGGTCTCAGTGTCAGGGGTGTTGGTACGAGTACGCTAGCAACGAAGAATGAAAGCAGACAAGCACGTGGTTCACGTTGTTGTCGCCCACACAGGCATAGTTGTTTCATGCAACCTGGGCTAGAGGGCATAAGGCGAACCGTGGTTTGGATGGGTTCTCATGAGTGTCATTGCATATCTAGGGAATGCGCGAGGATTCCCCACTAATGATGTTCTGATCATGTCGGCCATGAGCTGTGCGTAGGGACGCTTGTAGGGCTTGCGCAACCCAGACCCCTAGAACCATAGGGTGAATTATATGAGGATTATATAGGGGTTATAATGGGTTTATATAGGGGATCTAATTTTTAGATCCTCCCAGGGGTCTGGGAAGCTTGTATCGGAGTCTTGTGTTGCTCGTGAATGCACTTGCAGCGCAACGTTTCGTCCCAGACCTGATGAGACAGATGACTCCAGACCAAGATGATATTCATCGTGGCGAGAGGTTGCCCGGGCAGACAACAGACAGAAGCCTGCACATATATCCCTACAAACCCCGACATTGGCTGTTCCATCTGCCTTTTCCGTTTGATTCTCCAATATCCTTATATACACCTTTAAAGGGACCTGGGGCTTCCATTCTCTTTTCCACTTGGTGCTCCATTATTGGGGTGATATCCCTATATGGCTGTGAATCAAAATCCGCGTCATAGGTTTGTAACAGAATCTCCTGGCTTGCGACAAGCACCTTTACGACAAGGTTCTTTTTTTAGGGCATACCGGTGCCAAGAGCAGATTCCAGCATGTTCCATGCAGGGAGGCCAGAGTCTCCAACACCCATAAATAATGAAAGACTGGATGTAGAACACTCCTCTGGACAAACTGTAGCTAGCTCATCCGACCTCACTTTAAATGGCAATTTAGATCGAAAAAAAGGCCCACCTTGTGCCGCCATGAAGTTTTGCCCTCCAACGCCGAAAACTTCGAAGAGCGTGCCACCGCCTCCGAAGCCGCCGCCGCCGAAGACGCTGATTGTCAGCAAAGCGAGCAGGCGGGGTTGGGCTTTCCGTCTTGATGTGGAGGGTTCTCTTTGCGGTAGCGATCTCTGTCAGGAAGCCTTTAGAAAGCCCAGCAGCTGCGGCGAAGGCTCCTAAGCTGCACCTTTGCAATAGTCTTGCATGGGGGACACTTTCGCCCTCGTTCAGTCAGGTCACCCAGCCAACGGCTGAAAAAACGCGACCTGCCACGAGCCTTGGCTTGAGAGGAGTTAACGCGCATTTTCTTGCCACTTGCTATCTGCACTGTACCGGATGGGGATATTTGATAGCGTCATCCTTGCGAACAAGCAAAGGCCACCGCCATCAAAGGCGGCTGATGCTGCAGCAGTCTCTGCAGCACCAGCACCGGCCCGTCGCCCGGCAATTCGGCCGACGACTCGTCCTGCGAAGGCGAGGCCGAAGGCGAGGCCGCAGGCCAGCTCAGCATGTTTCGTAAATCATTTCATTTCTGGAGCGAACTGATCGGTTCAAGCCTTTTTTGCTAGCACGGCTAAACCCCAGTACATCATGAGGAGGACTGCCTTTAAAGTGAGCAGGGGCATGCTTCATGCAGCTTTGTTACTCAACCAGATAAGAGTGCTCTCAGTTCAAACTGGATTTTCACTCTTCCTTTGTGCCCTGCGCTTGTCTCCATTGACATGAAGTGCAACAATTGCTTGACCTCGTGTTTGGGCGAATGAACGAGAACAGGTCACAAGTATCCATTTTCTCTGGCTAGGCCAATGCCAACCAACCAGCGTGACTACGCGATTACCCAAATGAACATCAAAGCCAGCGTTGCAACATCTTTGCAACGGTCCTGGCAGCAACTGCCCCCATGTGATGTGACCATAATTGCATAATTGTGAAAGTGTGTTTTACAAGTAGGCTGCTGGATCCGGTCATTTTCTTGCAGCATCTGCGCTCAGACTGCCCTGCAGGTATCTACAGGTGGTAGTGCTAGACTACTTTAGAGAATTGCAGGAGTTGCGTTCGAGATGTCTCAGTGCAAATCGACAGCTTACTTTGTTTTGAGCTGTGCATGAAGTCCTGCACCATCCGGTGATAACATCCAACAGTCGTCTTTGATCCGCATGGCCAACGTGCAACCCAGACATTTCGGGAAGATCTAGAAAGTAAAACTTCCATTATGGTACCTTATGCTACTTTTGGATGATGTCTAGAAACCTTCAGGGAAAATCTACTTTCTAGATCCGCCCGGGCGTCTGGGAAGGTGAACAATGCCGAACGCCCAATGGCTGGGCTTCCTCGCCAAAGCAGCGAGGCTTGGCCTCGGCATCCTGAGAATAGGGATATTAGACCCCAATTGAATCAAATTTCAGAAGAAAATGGGAAAATGAAATGGAAGCTAGGGAATATATAGGGGATATATAGCAATGTGAGGGTTTCTATCTGACCAGGTGGCGGTGAAGGAGGAGGTGGTGTACCCGGAGGTGCAGCCGGAAGCACCTGGTGTGTCTGGACCTGAGCTTCAGCTGCGGTACGAGCACTTGGAAAGCCAGAAGGCCATGATTTGAGTCATCCGATATCCCATAAGTACTGAATGGTCAAGTGGTCAAGGCTTTCGAGGGAGGGCTGTATTATGGGGCCTTGGTGCGTGCATATGAGGTTCCTTATTGGTTGTTCGTGTGTGTCACTGTGTGTGTGTGTGTGTGACTGTGTACCCTAAACCCTAACCCCTAAACCCTATGCGCGCGCGTCTAAACCCTAAACCTTAACCCCTAAACCCTAAGCCCTAAACCCTAAACCCTAAACCGCGGTGTACTGGGTCTTCTCCTCGAAGCCCAGGGACTTGGAGCGGCTGAGAACCCTGCAAACCATCTCCGATGTTGCCAAAAGCTTGGGGCAGAAAGCAGCAGACACCTTCGCGCAGGCACAGCCGCGTGTTTGAATTTTGCCCCCCTTAAGTAGATAGAATATGGGGTATATGTGGGGATCTTGTTATAACATACCCAAGGCCATTTTCTATTTATTTGAAGGGGCCTGTATTCCCCTAGTTTCCATTTCATTTGCCATTTTCTTTTCCTTTTGATTCTCCATTATAGGGGAGAATAGGGGATTATTGGGGACTATAGGTCATCTTGAAGCTGCAGACTTGTGGTCACGATGCAGGAAGAATCAAGAGGTCGGCCACCGACGCCAGTGCACTTGCCTGCAGCTGGTGGTTGACGTGTTGAAGTAGACTGCCATCATGCCTTCACTTCAAGTTGGCCGCGCCAGCCAAGGCTGCAGCAACGAAGCGTGAAGATCCGGATCTTCAACAGATTTCTCGCATTGCACCTTGGATTCAAGCCGAAGGTTGGAGTCTGTCAAATCAAATCCCAATGATGCTCAAGAGGATCCCATAGTTATACTTCTCCGCACATCTTCAGGGTTCTCAAAATTATGCCTCAGTTGGAGAAACCCGTAGTCAGTACGTCGAAGGCAGGCAGGGTTTGGAACGCTCCTCATTTGGTACTTTGCAATTTGATTTCCTGACGGAAAGGTTCAAATCGCTCTCCAAACTCGCTACACAACTGGTTTAGAATCACCCCTGGAGTGATTTGCTAGTGATCCCAGACCCTGGCCCATCCCAAATCACGCCAAAATCGCTAAAACATCATTCCACAATCATTCCAGAGTCGTTAAAAACCCCTATACAATCACTATTATATATTTCGGAGTGATTTTTCACAGCGCGGTCGGGGAACCTCCTGAGTGAAACGAGCTAGTACCGAGGCTCGGGAGGATCCAGAGAGTAAATTCCCTTAATTTCAGGGCCTTCAGCAATAGCAATAATAATGATATATATATATATATTAATGATAATAAGGTGTTGTACAACTTTTTGTGTTTAGGGTTTACGGTCATAATAGCCAAGCTTGCGTGAAGGTGGGCTCAAAATTTTGGCTTTGGCTTCTTAAGCTCTTCCAGGTTGTCGCGCCATCCCGAATTCCACCCCAGAGCTCTCCAACCCCGCCCCAACCCTCCAGCCCAATCAGCGTAACAAACCTGGGACCCCAAATCCCACCCCAAAACCCCCCAACTCTATCAGCGTAACAAACTGGGACCCCAAATCCCACCCCAAAACATCCAAAACCCTGCAACCCTATCAGCGCAACCAACCTGGCACGGAAAAGCCAGCATGTTTATGGTGTATAGCTCATGCCCTCACATAGGGACAGAAATCCTCATAGCGGGTAGCTATAAAGAGGTTGGCCGTGCTCAGGAAGAGCTGGAGAAGGAGCTAGTAGAGTCGCGGGCTGCGGAAGAGCGGCTCGAACGCGACCTGACGCAGGCAAGGCGCAGCGAAGACTTGATCCTTGCCTGTCTAGGTGTAGGGTTTTGGGCTTAGGGTTTAGCGACTGGTAGGCCGTTCGCTGTTTCTATCTGGTGCTCCGTGGACAAATTATGGGCTGAACCCTTTTAGTAGTTCAAAGTTTTACTAATCGCTGTCCCCCATTGCATGCTAAGCACCGGGTAGTGTGTCAGCATTTCTGTTGTCCGCCATAAACCCCAAACCCTAAACCTTGTATTTTGTTGCTTCGGCCAGCTGAGTGCTGAAGTCCTCACCCTAAGGATCAGAGACCAACTACAAGCGGCTGAGCAACAGAACGAAGAGCTTGCCGCAAAAAGCTCGGGGCTTAGGACTCACTAATAGGCAAACTGGATACCAGCCCAAAACAGCTTGAAATCTCAGAATACCCCTGTCTCAAAGGAAGAAGAGTCTATGCAAAGCATGTGTTGGGTTTCAAGGCTTTGGGGAGGGGCTGGGTAATATGGGTAGACGCTTCAGGTGCTGAGATCAAAGAGTTGACTGAGCGCCTGCAAAAGGAGACCTCGCTCCGTGCAGCACTGAGACACGTCTTGCAGGATAGTCAGGTAAACATGTAGAGCAGCAAATTGGTCTTGGCAGGCGAAGAGACACAGGTCGACTTGCAGAAGAAGATCAGTGACCTGACCTCCGCGAGCGCAGCGCTCAGTTGATGACAGATCCACTGCTTTGAGAAATCGGCTGTTCATTGGAGCAGGTGGAAGAAGCAATCATATAGCAGATCAGAACGTGGAAGTGGGAGGTTTTGGGGTGCCTTCGGATATGTTGCATGGGCATAGTATGGGCATCAAAATCGGCTTTCCGTTTCCATTTTGTTTCCAACGTTGTTTTCCATTTGCCGCTCCATGGTTCATCATATATACCCCCTGCATAAACCCTACAACCGGCATATAACCACGCACTGCCCCTATAACTATAATCCCCAGATATCCGCGACAGAACCGCTGGAAGGCACAGCTCGCCAAAGCTCGATCAAGTTTTCTATCATACGCCCGATGATATGCTTCGCTTTTAGGATCGCTCCCCGAAGGGTGAGGCCTGACCCACAACTGAACATACTATGCAAAGCATGTGTTGGGCTTCAAGGCTTGGGGGAGGGCGTGGGTGACATGGGCAGACGCTTCAGGTGCCGAGAACACAGACTTGGCTGAGCGCCTGCAAAAGGAGACCTCGCTCCGTGCGGCACTGAGACACATCCTGCGCCACCTGCAGGATGGCAAGATGTATTCAGTTGAGTTTTGCAGGCGTAGAGAAGGAGAAGGAGGTCATAGCACACGTCAAAGAGAGCATGGCGCTCAGACATTGCTTCATGAGCTTCGTGCAAACAAGTCCCGCAGGATAGTGCGGCAACATGTGGTGTAGCAAGCTGGTCTGTGTTTGCCTCTGATCTGTAGGAGCGGCAGCAGAGAAAGAGCGAGTGCAGGCCAGGCAGCATGCGTACTGTTCATCAAGGCATAGCATGCATCTATTTGGGATACTATGGTTCCCAAATGTCCGCAATATGGAATAAGATTGATAACAACCTTTTGTTTGTAGCATTTGTAGCATTTGATGAGGATCATAGGCTCCTACTGTTCAACCACCGACAGCTGATCAGTTGGGAGGAGAGAAAGACACTCTCGGACATGCTCGACAAGGCTGTCGCGAGCATGTCACGATAGCTAGCGGAGCTAGGCTTGAGTTTAGTCTTGCTTTAGCAGTAGGGCTGTCAAGGTCTGGAAAACGACGCTTCGTGTGATGTATCACAGGATGGGGGGGGGGGGGTGTCGGCTGTGACTCTTTCACAGGAATCGTAGGTTTTGAGGGGCGGGGAGGGGGGGGGGGTCGGATGTGATTCTTTCTGAGAGAGGCTTTGTAGGAATAACGTCGTATTTGGTTGGTAATTGTAAAGTAACATCATGCCTGGTTGTTGCATCAACTCTCTTTTCTGGATGTTAACTGAACTGGCATGCTCACGGTACAACTTAACTACTTTTAAAAAATTCTAGCCACTTGATTCTTTAACATTTTCTTTCAATTTGATATCTCATGCTTCAACTCAAGTACTACATGTTCCTGTTGATGTTAGAGAGCCGTAAACGTCAGAACCAACTGATGTCATGCCTAACTTATAGCATTTGTCCGTTGCTGCCTAGATGATCCATGTAAACTCCTTGTCTTACTGATACATCCGAATGCTTAATGTCTACATGTTCTAGTAAGTTGACCTGTCCGTCTGTTATTTTAAGCTCTGGTGTTGAGGACTCTAAACCCATCTTAATATTTATGTCTCCGAACGCATTGCTGTTTCTGAATAGTTTTCACTGTGTGTCCAATACTTCTTTGAGAATAACGTCGTATTTGGTTGGTAATTGTACAGTAACATCATGCCTGGTTGTTGCATCAACTCTCTTTTCTCGATGTTAACTGAACTGGCATGCTCATGGTACGAATTAACAACTCTATAAAAATTGCCTCAACTGCAGCACTACATGTTCCAGTTCCTGTATCTTTCGCTGTTCCTGTTGACGTTAGAGAACCGTAAAGATCAGAACCAACTGATGTCATGCCTAACTTATAGCATTTGTCCGTTGCTGCCTAGACGATCCATGTAAACTCCTTGTCTTACTGATACATCCGAATGCGTAATGTCTACATGTTCTAGTAAGTTGACCTGTCCGTCTGTTACTTTCATCTTTGGCATTGATGATTCTAACCCCATTGTAACATCTATGTCTCCGAACGCATCGCTGTCTTGAATGATTTATACTGTGTGTCCAGTACTTCTTTAAACTCACTGCTGTTCTGAAACATGAAAGCGTCCCCAATTAGTGACATCCGCCTTCCGAAGAATGTTACCAATACTGCTGAATTTGTGATTGTTCATAACTGTTCTATTAATAATTGTAGTTCGGGGTCGTTTAGTTGTAATGCTGTTGTTCCTGTTGTGAGGTCAGATGTTCTATCCGTCTGTCTATTTCCTCTGCTGATATTGCATTTTACTTGTTGCTAGCGTCTGCTGTTTGGTATAATCTTGAGTTCGTGTTTAATAGTGGTTCTCTCACTAATGTTGGATTCTAGTTGTATTACAGGTTACGCCACGTTCAGCAAGACATTACTTCTCACCCTGGTCAGTACATGATCATGAGGGGCTTTCGCCGGCCCAGCTCCTGCTTTTCTGTTACAAATCATCATGACGCCCAGCAGATCCGTTTAGATGTAACAAGAACCTGCATGTTCTCATCTCAGTCGACATTTTGCGAATTGCACGCGGTTATCAAGGCAATGCAGTATGATAAGTGACAGGCATCTTAACCTGTTTACTGTGAGGTTTATTTTTACCACGCTTCCTATTCGTACTGCTTTTGACCAGAGCGCCCTCAGATTTTGGTTCGAAAGTCCTTGCATGTTGAGAAAAGCAAACTATGCCGGGATTAACATCGAGCTCTCACATACTGACATTTGGGGCGGGCCCTGGGAAGAACACAACAAAAAGACAAAAACACTCTGTCCATCAATTTTCTGTCACAGGAGAAAGTGAATCCAGACTCCAAACCTAGTGCTGAGGAGGCGGGGATTTGCTAAGATAGAGTTTCTGCAGGCAAGTGCAAGCCAGGCCTACCGTCATCTCCTGTCCACTGCCACAGAGACTGTTGAAATCATCCGTCAGAAGAAGGCTTCACTCTCCTGCCCTGCCTCGCCACGGTTGTGTTTTACGTGTGGACCGTATCAGGGCGTCCTGACAAGTGACAGAACAAAAAGCAAGTCGCGTCTTGGATTGAAATAATCTTGAAGTGCAAATTCGCCAGAATTCTGCTTTCTGAAGCCTGACCTGCAGGAGGCGTCCCGACCTATCCTCACAAGGACATGCGGATTCAGCACATGCGGCAAGCCACGGAAGCGTGCAATGCAGGAACCTTTGGAGAGACGGACAGCCCTTCACCTGCCTCTCCTTCCGCGGCCTGGCCCCTGTTCAGAACATGAAAGAGCAACAGAACAGAAACTTTTTTGTTGTTGCTTAATTCTAGGCCTATGGCAGTGAGATGGCTGTCGTGGAGGAGCAGCTGAGCACGCCCGTGCCTCTCTGGATAGAGCTCAGAACCTCGTCTTTTTGAGGGTTTTGAGCTGCGAAGTTAAGGCAGCAGACAATGGCGGCCAGGCTGTCCGCGGAGGCGAGAGAAAGCAGAGTCGTAGACCCTCTTGTCGCGTTTGATTCACGTTGGGCACACCCAGCGCGACCAGGAGAAGGCTCTCAAGGTGCAGTTGAAACGTCTGAGAGCTGCTGCTGGTACAGAGGTCCATCGGCAGGGCTTGAAGCTGCAGGTCTACGTGCTGTGAGTGCATCCCAAAGGACACAAGAAGGGAAGAACACGCGGCCAGAACTTCCAAGGCCGCAGGTGCGCCCACGGAAATGATGGCATGTTAGCTAGGCCAGTACAGTGATTCGAGCGAAAGTTTGCCAGAGCTCCTTGACGTCTCGACATGCTGTGAATGGCAGACCCAGCCACCCAGCTGGCATAGCGACGGGAAGTGTGCTACACTGCCAGCTGAGGCAGGCCAAGCCAACCTTCCCATGGCAAGGCTGTGCCCCTGGAGACGCGCGTGGCAGTCATACTGGCGGTCAATTCAGCTATTTCGCTTCGCTTCATCAGGTGCCCTCTGCTGACCTCCAGCAAATGGCTGCTGCAGCGAGTGCGGCAGCAACTCTGCGGCAATGGATTAGCAAAGCTTGGTCTTCGTAGTAAGACGGCATTGCTGGATTATCAGATTGCAGAATGGTTTGTTGTACATGAGCAAGATTATGGCGAGAATTCTGGAGAGTTGTCTGAACTCAGCACATTCGGTTCGGCACTGGTTTACTTCCGTTAGTGGACTTCACTCCTTTCCTTGAAGATGTCACTCAATAGTCGTGCACAGATTCAGAAAGGAGCTTGATGCAGCAGACTTCGGCAGGTTGTCAGCATTCTCGTACTTTGGATGGGTCCCTAGCTGTGGATTTACGCTGGGGATCGCTGCTTGATTCCATCTCGTAGAGAGTGCCGCATCGACAGTTTCCACAACAAATGTTGGAAGCGCAAATCATGATGAGCAAGTTGTCATTGCTATTGTTGCTTTTCCAGGTCATTAGTAGATGATGCACTGATTGGTATTGCCCGACAAAGCCACCTGATACATTCAGCCACCTCTTTCATTCGTACAGCTCCCTCACAAAAAGATTGAGTCGCAAGGCTTTGCTTGCCTTCCCTCATTCTGTCGAATCACAAAGATTTTGGGTCAACACTTGCCCGACAGGAAGTGTTCTGACCTGCAGGAAGGCCAGCTGCCAGTGGACGATGTGGAACATGATTCTGACGAGGATCTTGATGGTGATCAGCCCAGAGCAGAGAGACGTCTGTCTTGTTCCTATGTACCTATCAAGCAGCAGCTGTGCTTCTTTGGCAGGTGAAGCAGCCGGAGATGGGGCACCGCAGAGTCCTGCGAAGGACTCGAAAAGGAGAAGGAAGATCAGCCGACAGGAGGCTGCAAACCCAGATGATGCCCTGGCGCAGCAGCTCAAGGAGCCTATAGTCTCGCCAGTTGACTTGCTGGTAAAATCAGGGAGAAACACCTTGACTTGCTTTACCGCTATGCGCAGAAGTTTGCCCGAAGCCGACATTTTTGGGAAACGTAATTGCGCCGTATGGGTGCTGACGCCACAAAGCACTAAGGCAAAATCTAGGGAGTAAGCACACAAGAATGGAGCTTTGTAAGAAACCGTGCTGCTCCTGAGTGGAACCAGTATTTTGTTCCCTCTGGTCCGCAGAAAATCAGTTTGCCCAATTGCCGTGCGTGCCCTTTCAAACGGGGGCGATCAGCTTGTCTGGGCACGGAAGGCAGCCCTAACAAGCAGAGGTGTCAGGCGGACAGTTGCGCCGGAATGCAGCTTGAACAAGAATAACAAACGGCGAGGGATGTGACTGACGGGCAATGGTGTCGGAATGCGTCTGTCATCTAGCCATTGTAATGGGAGTGGGGATACTGGGATGATGGTTTCCACTCATACGTCGAGCCCGTGGCTACCGCAGAGCGGTGTGCATTGGAACAGCCTGGCAGCGATTGACAGGACAATGCAGCATTGTCACAAGAGTTGGAGGCTTGTCTTTAATTGCCAGAAGAAGAAGAGTGTGCCGATTTGCGGGAAGCAACTCTGCACCAGGCACTTCGCAAGCAGCTGCAAGATCTCAAGCGCCTTGACAAAAATGTTTTGATGTTTCGCGGATAGTATTGATATCCACTTCAATGTCAAGACTGGCTCAACTGCGCTGGAAGTGTTCAGTCCCTGTTACCCACATTATCTGAAGCCTGCGAGCGAGAAGCTGAAAGCTTCATGCAGTCGGCAACCAATGCCAGGAATGCTGCTTCTGCAGAAGTCGCCACAGGCCTATTGAGACAGTGGATGTATCGCGAGAACAAGTTGTCTGCTGCACCTTGAGCGTGTCAAAGATTCAGCAGGCACAGGGTCCTTGAGCCCTACACGAGCACGCAGGCAGACAAGCGATTCTGTACAGGTTTGGCAGAACCCGCATCTGGTGCAGGAACTCCCGGGTCCACATCTCTGAGCCTTCAGGAGAGAGTGCAGGCGATGCATCTGCAAGCCCTAGCTGCTCGTCTGAGAACAGCTGCACCGGGTTGCCATTGCAAACCGACTCATGCGATTGGAACCTAAGTTGCAGGACACATTGAATGCGACGTCATACAATGCTCAGGCGCAAGGTCCCGCTCGAGGCGATCGTCATCGAGACGGTCCGTTGCACTTTCCTTACGTAGACCGATGAGCTCGCAACTCCAGCATTCTGATGTCGTTGAGTACTGGCACGCTAAGTCTGCTGCGGCGCGGCGTTCCAGTAGACACCTCAAACCAAGTTGTCATGTGATCGGCTGGCGAGTCAGCCGAAGTGCGTCCAAGTGAGGCGCGAAGCCAGCGGAGGAAGCACCCGTCAGCGAGGCCTGCTGCTGCAGCATTCTGCGGCCACGGCTGCAAGATATATTGAAACAGGTTTTGATACTTTTCGCAAGGAGCAGCGTCAGGAAAATGAAGTGAAGCTCAAGGTGCAGAGCTCGACTTCACATGCGTGCGGCGTGCATGTGTGGCCGGGATGACCTTAGTTCAGGACCTCATTGCGGCCTGCCAGAAGCTAGCCGAAGAGAAGGAAGCCTTTGAGAAGGAGAGCCGCAGTCCCTTGGAAGATCACGCTTCCCAAGAAAGCCCTGCTGCAGGAGCTCGCATCGATTGAGGATAAGATTCGACGAGTGAAGAGCATGGACTCAGGAGGAGCCGTCGCATTACTCAAACAGGACGGCTGAGCTTGCTGTTTGCATCTTTTTGCGCTTCGGATGTAGTCTCAAGTCAGTCAGCTTTCCATTACATGCCGTCTGGTGTCACGTCAGGACGTCCAGCAAGAAAAGAAAGTTGAAAGCAGCGAAGTCAAGGCAGGCCGTGATTGCTACAGCCTATCTTCTCCCAGACGAATGTGGCAGGAACTCAAGGCTGAGATCAAGAAGAAGACTTCCCAGGCTTGGGTCATGCTGCAGCACGCATGAACACATAGTCCGGTCACATTCCCATCTTTGCCAACCAGCGCCTGGGAGGTGAATGCTATGAGGAGGTCCCAGCCCATTAGCATCCTAGTTCCGAGGTCATGCCTCACGACTTATCTGCCGTGAAGTCGACTTGCAGGACATGGCAAGAAATGCAGGGCTCCAACAAACGAGGAAGTGCAAGCGCTGCGGTAGAGGAGGCGGGGCTACATGCCGAAACAATTCCACCTGGAGGGAACACACGTGAATTCTGGTGCAGGAGAGGCAGAGAGAAGTGGCAAAGCGCTTTGCCCATGCGACAAGCTCAGATGTGCTTGGACCAGGAGAGATCCATGCAGTAGTCTCTTCCCCCTGAGATGGACGTTGGCCTACGGGCATTTAAACTGAGTGAGAGATGGGGACTGTAAGCAACAACTGAAGGGAAACTTGAGGAAAGCAACGGAGATGCGGTGCCTGCCCACACAGGTGGGACTTTGGATGCAAGGCATCCGGGCGGTAGGAAAACCATGAGGAGGCAAGTGAGGGCTTGCGGACCGGAAGGCTGGACACAGGGCAGGAGGGAGGGGGGTCCATGAGCCATAGGCCTGGTGTATGATCTTGTGTCGGTCAAAGGGAATTCCCTGATTCTGATTGGTAGTTCATGAATGTTGACCAGTGCAGCAGATGAGCTGAGGTGCTTTCTTTCCTCAGGCAGGAGCTTCAGTTGTGTTGAGGGACCCTGTGGTTCGGACTTGCCGCCGCTGTGCGGGTGAACTTGACTGCGCAGGGCCGCGAAGGCAGCTGAGCTTTCCAAAGAGGCAAAGTGAAGCGTGCTGTGAAGGCCGCACTGCGAGTTGCTCTGACTTCTCATGCTCCAGGCAGAGAACGCGGGCCTCGTCACGGAAAGTGGCAATGCTGAAGTTGTGGGAAGAAGCGCCTCAAAGTTCCTACTCTCAATTCGAAAGGACAAGATGGCAACAGCCTCAGAGTCCTTGCTGCCGGCGAGCTGCCTCAAGGCTGTGCCAGCATTCAGCATGCATTTACCAGTAGACGCCTCAAAAGAGCGTGCCCGTTCCTTGACACATGTACAACCCAGCATCATTGAAGCTGAATTAGGAGATCCAGGATTTCAGTTACATGTAGACGTGTCACCTTAGCACTGCTAAGGAGGCAAAGCTAACTGAAAACATCAAAGCGCAAGGCAGGTGGCAACGTCATTGCATGCATGAACTCAACTGTGGTTGTGGCTTTGTCCAGAGCCGGCGCCTCCGGCATCACCGGTTGGGCAGAGGCGGCCTTCCATCACCCGCCCCTTGGACAGGAACATGTTGAAACCGATTGTATCTTGGCAGTCAGCTGCCTCTGCTATGTGTGCATACTAGGCAATGCCCTGATTGCACCTTCGCCTTTAGCTTCGCCCGTAGCTTCGCCCGTGCTGACACCAACGCCTGACGAACAAGGCTCAGACGCTCCATGCACGACTGACACGCAGTTTGCTTTTCGTATACATGTCCTGACTTCTGCAGTACAAGTAGCTAATCTTTCATGAGCAGCTATGCTTCTCCATGCCTGCATTCTAGAGGGCATTGCTGACAAACACTGGGAGTGCAGCTTGCAGCTGAAGCCTTGCAGGAACTTCCCGGCAAGGCTTCAACCGCATCATGGCTGAGGCTCATAGCGTTTGTTCTCCGGCAGCTCCTATAGCTTGCGGCCTATCAATTTTTTTGTGAGGCGATGACTGGGCATCGAAGCAGCATTGCTGGACCACAGCACAGTACGCTGGATGCACCCTGTTAGATTGAGCTTGGGCTATGGCTGCCAGTGCAGTTTGTTCACGAGGTGCCACCTCTTCAGATGACGAGTCCGTGTCTCGCCCATCGCGAAGAGTTTCGGCTTCAAGCTCCTCTTTGCAGGCCCCAAGCGAGTGAATACTTTCATCTCTGCATGCTGGTGCAACTTGTCAACAGGTTCCTCGCACCTCCGATGATGGCGAGGTGCGGCGCCGATCCTTCAACAACATTTTGGAGAAGGCACCAGCCAATAGTCAGTGCTCCCACTTCGCTTGTTTGCAGCAGTGTTTTCTGAAGGCGCGGATGCGCAAGCCGAAGGAGGAAGTGGTTTTATCTCCGGGCGCCAAGGCAAAATCTTCCGCTTAGCTTCGTTACTTACAGACGTGGCTAAGCAACTGATCAGGCGAACGCCGCCGTCAGATTCGCATCCGATGGCTGACAAACTCTACATGGACCGCGCCAGCAAGCCGCGGGTGTTATTGCCCAACGCAGTCACCCTCTAAGAGGTGTCGTACTGCAAGGTATGTGCGAGCGAAGGCACAAAAACCAACATGCTTGCAATGCAATCTTGAGGGACAGGCAGAATGCTTCACGGCAGTTCTGTTCGGGCCCTGTAGCGCTAATACCCTGAAAAGGGAACGGGTAAGCCAAAAAGGAAGGCCAAAAACTTGTAAAACAAGCCTTGCAAAAAGCGCTAACCCAAAAACGAAGGGTCCACTTTCTAGATCAGATTTCAGCATTGCAACTTGCCGATAGCTCAAATCAAGATGGCATATGATGGATTGCGAGAGGCAAGAGGCAACAGTGAAGATATATGGCTGAAGCCATGCAAGGTTTTTGTAAGCAGGTCATGCCTGCACGCTGCAAGTTGCTTGAAGAGGCCTCAAGGATTTGCGGAAACATTCTTGAATACCTTCGTGAACCTAAGCATTCTATGATTGGACCAGATAAGAGCTCGGACAATCATGCTGTAGTGGCATTTTCAACGTGGAATTCTGTGTGAGATTGCCGGCGCTGCCCCGCAAGACATTCAAGACATCAGCCTCTTTTTTGTGCTGTTTGGTGGCTGGAATTGGCTCAGACTTAGTTTAGAGAGCCTTGCAGGCAGTAGGGCCAATGCAGGCGGTCTTTGCACCCTGGGAGTGTCTGATTCAACGAAAAGCCTATACAAACCTATATAATCCCTATATTACAGGAGGATTTGTCATGGGGCCTGCGGTTTTGCATATCGTGATTTTTCGAGGTTTTATAGGGTTTTCCTGTATTTATGGTATGCATTTGCTGGTTTTACGCAGGCTCCATAACAAATTCTAGGATTATGCGTGTAGGATTCTAAGTATAGAATTCTAAGGTATAAACCATGTGTAGCGTTTATAAACACATCCGTGTTTATAAGCAGAGGGGTGGTAGCAAGTCTTGGTTGCTTCACCAAGAGTCCCAGCCCCCTCCCAGAGATGTAATCTGCAAGAGTATGTAAAGTAACACTATAACTGACATCGACTTCTGACTTCTTAGTGCATTTGATGTATTGCTGTTTTGGTGCAGTGGTGCTCTTCATTCTATATCTGGAACCTATTCAAAAGCAGTTGGTCTAATTCCTACGAAGGGTTCAAGCCAGAAATTCTCGAGGCTAGCTTCAAGAATTGACCTCAGCTTGTCAATCTGGTCATGCAGGTATTTCGGATTCATAGGGTTCACTCCGATATTACCCTATTAAAAAACACCTATATAACCCCTATATTAACGCCTATATGACCCCATGTAGCCCTGTATTGACCTTATTATATAACGCCTATATTGCCCCATGTAACCCGTACTATACTACCCCATATGAGCCCTATATAACCCCTACATTAACCCATATATGACCCCTACATACCCCCATGTAGCCCCCTATATCCTATATTACCACATGTAACCCCCATATAACCCTCTCTTGACAGGCTTTGCGGCAACAGACTCTCCGAACACTAGCATCTGGTGTCGCAGGCCAGACGTCCCTTCATTTGGAGATTTCCCACAATTAGGGGTACCAATTTGGGGGTCCCCATGATAAGAAATTTGGTGTTTTGGAGCTTGTATCAGGGTCCCTTTATTTTGGGAAACTAGCATTTGAAGTCCTGAAAGACTCAGAAAGCTGGCAGTCACAACAGCAAAGGGGAGGGTAGGACGCATTGCAGGCGCAAAAACCCACATAAAACGCGAGTTTTCTAGGAGTTCACTCATGTCTTCCGTCCCAGATTTGAAGTCTTTCAGCCATCTAGTTTGTAAGTCGAACCCAGCTTCACTCATCACACTTCTGTGTATTCGCTATTAATTATTGACTACTACTACTTGACAGTGCCAGGACAAGCAGAACAGCACATACTGCCTGATTATGGTCAGTCAACCACACTTCTGGCACTTCCAACGACAACAACGTCGTCGTAATGACATGAGCACACTTTGAGTGGTTCTCCTTCGGGTTTAGGTTTTAGGGCTGTGACATCAGCAGCTTCAGCTTGGGGAGCGCAGCTATGTACTTCTGAAAAATAATTGTTCATTGAACAAAGAAGATGGTTTGAAACATATCTTGGGATGCTGGCAAGGATGTACCACGTCCACCACCTGAGACCCCCTATGCGACTCTCCCAGCCAGTGCGATTTTAATGGTAAGCGGGTGAGAAGGACATGTGCAGGTCCTAGTTTGTCATGCATAGCATTTGCCGTGAATCTTCTTGCGGAATCCTTGATCCACATGTATGATTCACCTCCCTTCCCAGAACTCTGGCGTGCCAGCAGCTTGAAAGATTAAGTTCTGAAAAGTACGCAGTCCGGGTCTGATGCGTATTTATTTCTCGGCTACTATGGCATGTAATACAGCAAATTTATTCCAACTAAATTGAATGCGTTGTAAGCTTCATCCCATATATTTAAACCGAAATAAACTCTCGGCCATCAAAAAAACATTGCGTTTTTCCGATATAATACGTAGCTAGAGCAATGAAATTCTGTGTCTGTAGTGCGTCCTGTTCTGCAACAGTCAGTTTATTGAGGTGAGCAAGTCTGGTAGGCCTGTATGAGATGTGGCTGTGAGCAGTTTTGTATTGTAGTAAAAATGACTGGCTTGGCTGTTCAGCAGCAGGACAGTGTGGCTGTTTTGACCGGTGCTTTACCAACTGCTAAGCCAGTAAACAAAACCGGTACCCACTCACACACACGATGAAGCTGGGTGGCTGGACCTGCATTTTTGCAGCATACTTCCTGCCATTATCTGACACTGCCACAGGGCTTTAGTCAAGTAGGATTTCGGCTGCCAGCAACTCAACAAGCTTCAAACACCAGGCCCCAGGCTGATACTGGTAACTTTGGTCTTGACTGGGAGCTCCACTCACTTGCATGCTGTATACAGACTCGCGCTTTAGAATTGTAACTTCAAATTTGCCACATCTTGAATGCTAACTCCAAGCATTTGTTGATGCCCCATTGGCGCAGGACGCCGGATAGCCTGCAGACATGCTCTGCCAGACAGGGTGGCCTCATACGCATGACGCGCGTCAAGGAGTGTGTGAGGGAGGCTAACATAAGCTTTGTCAGGCAATAGTCTCGCTGGATAGACGAAGGCACAACTGGCGCGGCTCTCGGCAGAGTGGATCTTTGAACCTGATTGCTCGCACGCTGGAAAGTGTCTGAAGGTCCAGCAGAATGCCACAGCTTGACACTCAGATTCTATGGAAAGCTGTCGTTGAAGAGGTGGTCTTCGGTGAAGCGTTGCTAAAGTGTCTGGTGGCCTTCTTGCAGCAGGCGACCATTTGCCAGCGAGGCGTCCAAAGACGACAAGGAGCACTGTTTGTGTTCAAATTTGTGTGTTTGGTGAACCTTCTCGGTTTGTCTCGATCGGTTCGAGTGCAGTGATGATCCTGCTAAGTCTTGTCACGATCTACTTTCATGGAGCTGAATGTTGCCTCAAAGCAGCCTTCTCCGCAAGGGAGCTGAAGCTGCGTCACAAGAAGAGGGTGCGGAACCCAAGGCACAGAACGAGGCCCGGCCTGACAGTTTCCCATGAAGACAGCTGAGATCAGCTGAGTCTGTCGTGTGATCAACCACAAAGTATCCGCTGGGAAAGGAAGCTGCCCAAGAAGAGGCTCCGGAGGCGTGAGCGCTGAGAAGCACACACCATGCGTACAGCACTCATGCGAGCCAGACCCCAGCAGCGGCTTTGGAGAAGGAGCTGGCAGCTGTGCAGGACTACTTTGGGATTTTGCGTTTAATCTCAGCGGCAATGGTGTAGCCTCAGGAGACGGTGCGAGCAAGAAAGCATGAGTGCACGCCCCGGGTCCTTGAATGCGTTTGCTGGGGGTATTTGCATTCACTGCAGGCTTCTGCTGTCGCTTGCGGATTTTGAGAACAACAAGAAGAAGTTTTCAAAAGAACGTGAGGCCATTGCAGTGTGCAGCACTGCCACCAGCCTCATGGGCCTTCTGTCGGCAGGACAGGCGGAAAAGCTCCGTGGCAAATTTTGCAAGAGAGATGATAAAGGCCCGTCGCAGCATTGCCCCCTGCATGCACGCTCACGGCTGAGAGAGGTTTACAGCCAGTTCGATGTCTTTGCTGGCGAAAGGCACCCAGGCCCGTTGTGCAGGAAGCTGATTTTTAGAGTCATGGACTGCGCATTTGTCTGTGGGCTCGAAGGTGCAGCACAAGCGCTTCATCAAGGTGTGGCGTTAACACGCGACCTCTACAAGGACCGCCCTTGCCCTTTCCTCCCCAGAACACCAGCGAGCCGTAGCTGCCGTAGCTGGAGGCCTCCTTTGAACGATTTGGTGTTCGAAACATCCAGGCCCTGGCCCATAGAAGCGCATCTTGCTTCAGCTGCATTCTGTCAAGTTTTGTCACTGGAAGCTGATCATGGTGCTGGTAGCTGGCAGGTCGAAATCGGAGAGCCGCCGCTTTGCTTTTTTTCTTATCCAGTACACAGCATGCGTGATGAATTGCCAGACTCCTCCTCCTTGGAATAAACGGCTGCTTCGAGGTATGTGCCTGCCCGCCATGAAAATGTCGGCACCGTCGAAAGTGCTCTCTTTAGGTCCTACTGGTCGTAAAACTGCTGACAACCCAGTTCCTCGTTGTCCATGACGTACTTAGCTGTGAGAACTGACAACTTGCAAGCATCCAAATCTGGATACTGCTTCAACTCTGAAGACTAAACTTGGTTGGAACCTCCATGGAATAGTTGCCGGAGGTACGAAGTTGCCCATGAACGCTGTTGGCGAGATTGTCCGGCCAGGCAGACTCTGCTTTGCTCATGCCTCCATGCTTTGCAATTCTCCCACAAGGCTGGATCCTCGAGCCGGACAGCCCTAAGCCTGTTGTACTTCAAAAGGTTGAGCCATGGCAATCACTGTGGCTGCTGTTGTCATCTTGTGACATGGCGGAAATCGGGAATCCTGCTACCACACAATGTTTCTATGGCAGTGTGCCGAGGAGGTGCATGTCTCCACCCAGGGACCAAAGGCACCTGCTTCCAACTCCTAGCTTCAGGGGGCTTCAAGCGAGCGTCCCGCAAAGAGGTGCCTGCTTCTTGACTGCCTGGGCCTCAAATTCCCGAGTTTCTGATCCTGACATCAGGTCTTTTGGACATGCTCTGTGGTTGCGCGGCCTGCATGGCTTCTGACATACCAAGGTACCAAAGTCTACCACGAAGCTGTGAGAGTGCTCCATAGGCTTCGTTTCCTTTAAGAGAAGGACCCTCCTCCGCTTAGTGCCAAGTAAATGTCCAACCTCAACTTCCAGCGGGACAGCAAGGCTGCAAACACCCACAAAGGGTTTAGGGTCTAGGGTTCAGAGTTCAGGGTTTTCACCACCACCGCCACCGCCGCCGCCGCCGCCGCCGCCACCACCACCACCACCACCACCACCACCACCAAAATTCTTGGCGCCAAATCTCGTCTAGGAGTGACCTAGGATCGTGCAAATGGTTGAACTCTCCCTGGAGCCAGAGCAAGAAAGAAACAGCTTCTTATCTTCTTTTATGCTGATCTTTGTTGTTCTATGCTTTCTGCTAGCACTCGGTCCAGCAGCTATCCAATGCTGTCTCTGGGCAAGTATTGGCGGCATTTGGCGGCTCTCTTGAAGTTGGTCGACAGCTGATCTTTCGCAGTTCGCATTGAATGTGTTGATACTTTGCGTTTTTTTTTGGAGTATGGAACCAACTAGCGTCTGAAGCGTGCAGAACTCCGCAGATCGAGTTCTTGTTTAGGCGACGCCAAGAGTCCTGGCGACTTCGCCCAAAGAAGACGTTTGCTGTCCCTCATTGTGTGCTGTGACGATGATTCCTGCTGACGAAGATGCGTTCTTTTGCACAACGACATGTGTTCACCAGTGCCCGGGCTTGCAGTACCCTCTATTACCTTCAGAGTTTGAAGCAGCAAAGTCAAAGCGCCTCAACTTATCAGCAAATTGGTTGTCTGTTGGCCTCGTGTACGCAGCAACATGGCAAACGAGCTTGGGCTTGGATCAGAAAGCCACGAAGACGGGCAGATCCTTGACGAGTTGTGGGGCCCCTAATTTCCTGGCTCTGTAGGCAGGTGAAGGAAGGTACAGGTACCTGCCCACAGACTGCACACGCTTCAAGGTCAGCTCTGCAAGAGGAAGTCCATCATGGGATTTCCCAGATTCGCTCCCAACTGTCGCATGAGGCGTGGGATTAGAAGTGCGCCCAGGCACCATGAGGGAGTTGCAGAACGAATGACGCATGTTAGCCCGTGAGGCAGACAGAACTTCCATGCGGACAGTGTGCGCAGAGGTTCCCCGATACACCTTTGGCTTGCGATGCTCCATGTGTCGCTCTCAGGCAGAGCTTGAGTTCTACCACAACCATCAGGTGGCGTCTGGGTCGCTCTGTGTCTACCTGCTCTTCATGTTTTGTCAGGTGAGGCCTATGCGGACTCCTACGGAAGTAGGCAGGGCTGTCCAGACCGGAAGGCCGTTGTCCAAGCTCTCGTGGTGTCAGGAATGCTTGCGCAGGGCATCCTTTCTGGACGTGACCAGGCAGAATTGCCAAGCCACAGCATCCAAGGAGCAGCAATTTCTATGCAGCATGAGCCAATGCATTCAAGCGAGTCTCGTGAGGACGCCGATCGGATGTGGAACGGCTTCTGGAGGCAAAGTTGTCTGTGGGTCTGCGGCTTCGGCAAGTTGCGAGAAATCCAGGCCTGTGGCAACTTGCAGGGCCCGGGCTCCGAAAAGGCCAAGGGCTTCCTTTCGGGATTTTGTTGTTGCAATAAGGGGATCAACGGCCAGGCGACCAGCCGGTCCGCCTTGTCAGTAGCAACAAAGCTTGGAGCTCTGCTCGAGGAGGCTGGCTTGGTGGATTTGCTTAAAGCTTCCTGAAAGAGCTGACCGCGAGGTCGATCGTGACTGTCTTTCAATGGCACTGGCCCTCGACGACATGGATGGTCCCCTGGCTATCGGTGATATTTGCTGCCATTGCTTCTGCATAGCGGAAGAAGACAGAGGCGGACTTGCAGAGGGATGGGCCTGTGGCTCGGGAAATGCTTGTGCGTCTTGCTCAGCAACCCGTACCTCTGAGTCTGACAGAAGAGGTGGAGCTTCTGTGCCTTGCGGCATCTCACGGCGCAGCCAGTGACATGCCAGCACCGTCGCTGGCCTGCTTGGCGAATGGCTTATTCCAGTTCTTCCATGTGCATTCCGACATAGTTGAACACTGCCCAAGAATGGTCCTGGCCATTTCTGTTAGGAAGCGCAGCTGTCCATGGAGAATGACATGCTACGTTCGGTGACGTCGGCGATGCGCTTGGCCGCAAGCCTTGACGTCCTTTCTCCTGGCGATTCTCTTTGCTCCATGCCAGGCACTGAAGCGGACTCAATCGGACAAACAGGTTGGCATCCAGTCTTATCTGCAAGATTGATGGTTGAGCACAGTTTAGCCCAAGGCCACGTAGCCTTTGGCCTTTGGCCGTCGGCGCAGCTTTTTCTCTATGCAAGAGCTTTCAGCCTGGCTCCTTCACGTGGAGTCCAAAAAAGGAGGCAATTTGCACAGCAGTGGCACATAAGGTCATGGCAAGGGGAGTCGGCGAGCGATCCAAAGCCTCAGGCTACAGATAAACAAGCACAGCGGTGATGTCAAAGTTCACTGGTTTTGCTTGGCTGCATGCAGCATGGAGGGCTTGCAGCGGTCAGCTGCGCAAGATGATGATGCGCCGTCTGCATCGTAAGGCATGGAGATTGGAGAACACTTGGAATCTTTCCTGTGCCCACTTTGCTGAAGGCAGGGATGGTGGCCCAAAACCGGAGATGTCTGGTCCATCACCTCAGACTCAGGCATGACATGGGTGTGGAGGTTTGCTGCAACTCAGAGTCTTTGAGGATTTTCCGGAAGATGCTCTCGATGGTTACTTCCATGATCTTCCACTTGCAACTTCGGCCACAGCTGCATCCTCTGCCGCCCGGAGCTTACTGGAGCTTTGCAGAAGCCAAAGCACACGAGCACTGGAAGTCCAGGCTGCAGCGCATCCCTGCTCTGCGGTTCCTCGGTTGTTCCCGCAGTATTTGGTGATGCAGTTGCCAGCCGATGCATTTAAGTGGGCTTGCACTCAGCTGGACGCTGGTCCAAGTCACTTCTCATGGTTATGCAAAGCAAAGCACTGGAATTTATCGTAACTCAGCCGATGACAAGGCAGTATCGCTGAACAGGCTTTCTAGCTCACTTGCTGTTGGAGCATGCCTGGGCAGATACCACTAGCAACTCTGGTAGCCAACCGTGACCAACACCAGATAGGTTTGCCAAGTAAAGCTGCGTCGCCACTACGATGACGGAATTTTGCAGATTTTCATGGCTTCTCTGCAGGATGACTTAGCGCAGCTGCTGCTGCCACTTACTCCGCAGACTCGTCAGCAACTGGAGACCAGATGCTTGTCTGCGCATCCATTGACTTTGCTTTCCATCTTGGAAGTGAAATCGGCTCCGAATCATCCAAAGCAACTGGCCGGTGTTTTGCTGTGCAATCGACTACGGGAATGCTGGTCCAGTATTTCTGCTCCAGATCGAGCACAGTTACAAGCTCGCATGCTTCATGCGCTGGACGAGCCGATGGCGAAGGAACAGCTCAAACTGTTTGCCGAATGTGCTGCTTGCATTGCAGGCGGGCTGGCGGCAGAGGGCATCATGTGGCTGGACCTGCTGCTGTGGATCCGCAAAGTTGCCGCCGAGGAGGAGTGTCCCAGCGCTCAGCTCCGAGGGGCTTTTCCACTGGTTTTGAATGGGCTACTGACGCTACCTGCATGGCAGAGCCTTTTGGAGCCCCATCTGATGGAGTGCACACAGGCTTGTGTGTCTGTTCTTAAAGCCGAGAGAGGCTCTGAGAGTGATGCCTTGGAATGCCTTGGAAGCCTCGCTGGGATCGTGAGGGGTGAGGAGGCTGCGCGCCTGTTTCATCACCAAGTGGTGGGCCTGCTGGTAAGTGATGCTGTCATGGGAAGTGAGCTTTGTGACGCTGCTCTGGAAGCGCTTTCTCGAGCGGCGGCTGCAGATGAACTTCTCATTGCCGACGCATCCTTTTATGCTACACCAGGCCTGCAGCCAGCAGAGCTGTGCAAGGTGCTCTGAAGAGTTAGAGAGAGGGTGTTGGGGGCTTTGTGGAGCTAGACAGCTTGAGAGTTGCAGGGACCAGGGAGGGTTGTCGATGGTTTCCAGCAACTTAGGTGGTCCAGCTTGCCCTGACGGCCTCAGTCACGCAGCGTGGGCACAGGCGGGCGCTGGCGCTGAGGCTGCTGCACAGCATCGCCGACTCCCACTCTCGTCTGCTTTGCACCATGCAGGGAGGCCAGCTCTCAGCAGAGGAAGTTCTGCTTTCCCTTGTGGACTTGGTGGCTCCGGACGAAGTGCGGGTAAGGGCGGAGTGGGAAGGACTCTTTCTCGGCCAGAATTCTGCGGCACAGAGCGGGGCTGAGTATGGTTTGCTTGCCCGGATCGCAAAGCGGCTGCCAGACAAGCTGGTGCTTCCCATCGTCTACCGCAGCGCGTGCCGGAGTCTGGGCCTGGGGTCTTCGCAGTTGCCTGCGAAGCTTGCAGCTCTGGCGTGCCTGGGTGCCGTGTTGCCCGGATGCGCATGTCTCGTAAAGAAGCAGCTGCATCGCATTTCACGACTGGTGCTGCGAGCACTCTCGCAGCCGGCTCTGCACCCGGTAGCCTTCGCTCTGGTTGCTGATCTTTGTGGGCTTGTCCCTGCTGAGACACGATGTGGCTCGGCAAGGCTCGCAGAAAGGCTGCTTCCTCCTCTTCTTCAGCAGCTGCAGCTTTTGCAACTTCATGACGTCGCCTTTCCACATGCACTGGCAGCACTGGAGGCAGCTTGTCCAAGCACCTTGACTGCCAGGTGCAAGCATTTAGACCAATTTGGGATTGTGTGATGTGTCAAGTGTCTCAAGCTCATAGGACTCTGTGGCCAGGATCGACGAATGGGAGGCTACTCCCTGCCTTCAGACCTCCACAAAGCGGTGTAGCGGTGTTGATGTGGGCGTGTCAAAAGCTGGCTGAGCTGGTACTTCAAAGCGATGCCAAGGAAGCCGGCCTGTCAGATGGCACCGCCAAGAGACTGTGCACTCTCATCAGCATACTGGCGCGAAGGCAGCACCTCACCAGGCATACCGCTGAGAGTTTGAAAACCGAGGGAGGCAGGATCGCGACCGTCTTGCAGCAGGTGCTGACTTCCGCTTACAGCGCTGAGACGCGCTCCGCGGCACTTGAAGCTTCTGGGGCTTGGATCAAGCTGATGGCCGATGCGGGGACCAGGTGCCCAGAACTTTTGAGCACCTGTTTGCAAGCTGTGGAGCACGGCCTTCGTGAAGCGACTGAGCCGGCCTCTGTCTCTGCAGAAGCTTCAGTGCGTTTCTGCGCCGCTCTTGGGCCGCTTGCGCCTTCGCCTGGAGCGGTTGTGCTTGCTGGGCTGGAATGCTGCGCTCGACGACCTCGACCCGATCTGGTACAGGCTCCTCTCTTGGCCTTCACGTGCGGAGATAACTCCCCTTCGCTCTGCAGGCGCTTGCTGCTTTGGTGGCTTCCTCGCAGTGCCTGCACCCAAGCCAGTTATTTTCAATCAAGTCTGCAGTTGGGCTTACAAGTGTTGCTGCATCTCAACTTGTTCTTGGCAGAGCCTGTCAGGTCTTCCAGCACTGTTCGGAGACCAGGCATCTCAAAAGTGGAGTCGAAGCCCAGCTGCAATAGTCAATAGTACTGGTATCTGGTCAAAGCGGCGCATGAACGCCCGGTTCTCTGAAACTTCCAACCGGAGGCCCAGAAGGGTCGAGGTGAAACCGCTTGGGGGTCAAGAACCAAATGCCCTTGCCACAATCTCCTGCAGCCTTTTGGGTAACACGAACCTTTGGTCCGAGTGGGTGGAGCGAAGCGGCGAGGCCAGGCTGGACCAGCAAAGCAAGTTCCACGCGTCCAGTACAAGCTGCAGCCAATAAGAACTTCTATCCCTTTGCCACCACAAATCGGGCCATGGCTGTTTCAAGAGCAAACCCGTCACGCACACATTTGCTAGTGTCCCATATTTGGACAGGCAGCTTGGTCTTCTGATGGCCTCATTCAAAGAACGTCTGTGCACACTGCAGGCTTGCAAATGCTCAGGTTCTGAGTGTGGTTTCGCATGAGGCTTGATGGACAAGTGTGTTTCAGAGATTGGGGTTTCAAAGTTTCTGAATCAGCTTGCAGAGGCCACTTCTCTCCACCACACGCAAGCTGTTTTTGATGAAGAAGATTGCATGCTTGCCAAGGACTTGCCCAGCTGCTCTCTGGATTCCTGGATCAGCGGGAACTGCGCGGGCCGACCGCCGAGCTGGCAAGGCGAGGGAACGTTTCTTTGAAGCTGTGGCAATGTGTGGCACCAGCATTCTGCAGTGATAGGGGCCGAGATACGCGGTAGCCTTCGCCAGCGTCTGTAAGCTCAGCAGCATTCCCCGCAGCCCTTCTAGCTCAATGCTGCGCAAGGCGTTCTTGCGCTTGCCAGCTTGTGCTAAGAACTGTTACCCTCCCAACTGGGAGCGAAGCCAGGCCCCCACACCGCACAGAAGTAAAGTCCCAGAATTCGTAGCTTTCACTGGCCACACAAGGCATCATTGTTGGAAGAAACCAGAAAACTCGCACTACACTGTTGCCTCCAGTGCAAGCTGCTGCTGCTGCTGCTGCTGCTGCTGCTGCTGCTGCACAGCGTCGCGAGAGGGAGCAACATCAACGCCACCTCAGCTTGGCCTCTCATGGTGGAGGGGGGCAAAGTGAGCCAGGCCTCCCGCTGTCGATTGGCGAGCAACCGCTTTGCTCTTGGCTCGGGCATTTCGATCAAAGACCCAAGAGCAAGGTGATGCGTGTGCCGAGCTGGGATGTCGCGAGCAGATGAGTAATGTCGGACTAGCGCGAACATTACAAGCTTCTGGCCGAGGATCTTTCGGCTACAGTCCTGTAGGTCTCGCATGCCGTCGTTTTCAAACAAGACGATGTGCGGACCATGTGTGCTGGGGTCAAAAGGATTCTGTGACGGCCCAGATGTTCTGCATAATGCGTCTTGATCTTCCTGCAACAGTTGCAGATGTCTTTGTGTGACCCTCAGCGCGAGGCACATACCGCTGTGCAAGGCCAGGCTAGCAATTGCACATGGACTGTTCCTAGCCACTTAGAGGAGCAGAGATCAAAATCCTGTAGTGGGGAATCCTTTAGCGAGTGGCGGTAAGGAGCTTGCCGCAAGCAAACGTGTGGGTTTGGTAAGCTACCGTAAGCAAAATCGTTCCGCGTATTGCGCCGTAAGCCGCCGTAAGCATTTATTTGGGGCTCTCCACGTTGCCACCGTAAACGCCGTAAGCGCTTGTCAAGAAAAGCGAGCGCCGTAAGCTAAACCTTGGGTTTCGTAAGCTACCGTAAGCAAATTCCTGACCGTCAAAGAAACCGGATAAGGGTTTTGATCCCCGCTCAGGACGCACGCCCGAGCGTGAGACGTCACTGGCCATCGCTCGAAATAAAGCCCTACTCCCGCCCGG